GTATGTGCTGCCCCCCACCAGCCAGACACATGTGACAGACTGTCCGTCACAGTCTTCAGCCAGACACATGTGACAGACTGTCCGTCACAGTCTGTCACAGTCAGTCTTTTGGGCAGCACACACAGACTGTGACAGACAGTCTGTTGGTTCATTGCAACACACAAACTGGTGGGGGCCAGCCTCTGTTACAGTTTGTGTTTGCTGCCCACCAGATTGTGACAGACTGTCTGTCACCATTTGACACAGGCTGTGACAGACACTGTCACACAGTAACACACACACCTACGCTTGATGCAATAACACACACACACATATATACACTTGCTGCACTCACACACACACACACACGCACTAACACACATACATACAGTCCTTGCACTCACACAGTCACACACTCACAGTCTGTCACTATCTGTCACAGTCTGGTGGGCAGTCTGTCACACACTCACACACTCACACACTCACTCTCTCGCACACTCACACACTCTGTCACACATTCGGACACTCAAACACTCACACACTCACACACTCACACTATCACACTCACAGTCTGTCACAGTCTCACACTCACACACTCACACACTCACACACTCACACACTCACACACTCACAGTCACACACTCACACAGTCACACACTCACACTCACAGTCTGTTACAGTCTGTCACACACTCTGTCGCACACTCAGACACACACACTCACACTATCACACACAAAGTCTGTCACAGTCTCACAGTCACACAGTCACACACTCACACACTCACACAGTCACACAGTCACACTCACAGTCTGTCACTATCTGTCACACACACACATTCACAGTCTGGCACACACTCACACACTCACAATCACAGTCCGCCACTGTCTCTCACACACTCACATTCACAGTCTGGAACACACTCACACACTCACACTCACAGTCTATCACAGTCTGGTGGACAGTCCGACACAGTCTGGTGGGCCCTGCCTGACAGACTGTGTAATAGTTTGTGTTTGCTGCCCACCAGATCGTGACAGTGTTCACCAGACTGTGACAGACTGTGACAGTCTGTCACACACTAACACAACACATACACTTGCTGCGCTCACACACTCGCTGCACACACACACACACACACACACACACATAGACACACACACACATAGACACACACACACACACACACATAGGAGGAGGAGTGCAGGACAAGGAAGCACACAAACAAAACCGAATGCGAAAGCAACTTTTCACTGTTTTCAGGGCTTCAGGTGAAAACAAGCAGCAAGGTGTGTGGTCCACAACGTCGAGAAAGGTAACGGGCTCCTCTCTCTCTCTCTCTCACTCTCTCTCACTCTCTCTCTCTCTCTCTCTCACACACACACACACACACACACACACTCTCTCACACACACACACACACACACACACACACACACCCTCTCTCTCAATCTCTCTCCGTCTGTGTGTCTCCCTCTGCTGCACCCTCTGTCCTCCTCTTCTTCGACCTGTACAGCGGCGCACTCTCCCTGGAGTCGTCATCCGACTCTTCCGTTGTCGGTGCTGCAACGGGTTGTTTGTCCTTGCGCGGCCGACCTCTCCGACGTCCTGTGCCTCGTGCAGCTCCGGTAGCGGACCTCCCTCGCCCTGTGCCTCGTGCAGCCCCTGTAGTGCCTCCTCTCGCATGTCCCGAAGCAGACCTCCTTCTGCCTCGCTGCGCACGATAGGCGAGGGGATCCCATACACGGCCTGGATGTGCTCCATGTTGCCCGGCTAGAGGCGACTGGTGACTGCCACCATAAAACGATCGCACGTTAGTGCGATGCTGCACACCCTCCCCCTGCTCCTCCACCTGTTGCTCCCCCACCTGCTGC